CACCACAGTTAAGATCTTATCTCAAAAAAGAAAAGTAAACCTACAACAGCAGCATAATGTCACAAACATGAGAGAGAGAGAGAGAGACAGACAGAGACAGAGCGAGAGACAGACAGAGAGACAGAGAGAGAGACAGAGAGAGAGACAGACAGAGAGACAGAGAGAGAGACAGAGAGAGAGACAGAGAGAGAGAGAAAGCCTAACACACTTTCTAAGAGCCAAGACTGGCATTAGCCAGGAAGGGAATGGAGCACACAGGCCCTCCTGAGATAGGCACCTCTCCCCATCCCCCCACTCCCCACCCTGGCTTAGTTCTGAAACACTGAGACCTGAACCCACAGATCACTAGAGTAAACATGGGCACTTCAGATGTGGCAAAGGTGGTGATCCATGACCACCAAATTGCCATTTCTATTTGTCCACTCCCTTTCATTTCCCTGTGTAATTATATTTCATTTCCAACTCAGATTTAGTATTTCTTTATAAACATTTAGTTGTTCTCATCTAGATTCAAGTGCAAAAAGACAAAAAGAAGTGTCCCTGCCAGAAAGCAGATACTGTACCACTAAAATAAACATTTGTGTGTGTGTGGTAATGTGGGGATTACTAAAACTAAGGTGTTTGTTTATTTGTTTTGCATGGGTATTTTTGCCTGAATGTCTGTGTATCACATGTATGTAGTGACCAGAGGCTAGAAGAGGCCAAAAGAGGGGGTCAGATCTCCTGGGACTGGAATTGTATACAGGTGGCTGTTGAGCTGCCATGTAGGTGCTGGGAACTGAACCTGGGTCCTCTAGAAGGGCAGTCAGTGCTCTAACTGCAGAGCCATCTCTCCAGCTCCAGAAACTAGGGTCTTATCCATGAGACAGGCACTCTACCATGTTTCCCCCCAGAACTTTTTTGGGTGGGCATAGGGGGGCGTTGTACATACGCTGTACTCATTCCCTACAAGTCTTCTGCCTTCTTCTGTTATGTTGTGTCTGTATAGTGATATATTATTTGATTTATTAAAGTTTGCCTGAGGATTCAGAAAGTAAAGTCACACAAGCCATAGAAACCAGACACACACCTTCAATTCCAGCAGCCAGAGCTAGGAGGTGGTGGTGTACACATTTAATTCTAGGACTCAGGATTAAGAGACAGACAATCTCTGTGAGTCCAAGGCTACCCAGATCTACACAAGATTGACCCAGTCCTAAAGAGAAACAGCTCACACAAAGATGATCTCGGCACCTGGGGTCACACGCCTTTAATCCCAGCACTAGATGGGTATAAAAGATATGAGCAGGTTCAGGATCAGTAGTCACGATCAGGCATTCATTCTCCAGCCACACTGAGAATTAAGATTAAGAGTTAGATATCAACCTAGATTACAAAACAAGTTGGTGGCCTCCCTAGGCTACACAGTAATAGTCTGTCTCAAAAAAAAAAAAATGAAACAAGGTTGGCAAAATGGCTCAGGGATAAGGGGGCTGCCAAAAACATGACAACAACCCATGATAAAGCGAGAGGAAGTTGTCCTCTGACTGCTACACACTCTCTAACATGTATATGCACACAAGCACAGTGCAGAAAGCGGAGCAAATCCTACTCTGCTGTTTAAGGTTTACTTGTTTAATGCTTTTGCAGTTCAAAGGGAGTGGAATATGCTCCAGGAATCAAATGCTTGAGATGTTTTATAAAGCCAGGGAAGACATGAACTGGACTCTGGAGATAAACGATGAAGGAAAAGTAAGAGACTCCTAAACAGGGGTGAAGGTCATGGGATTCAGCAAACAAGAGGAACCGGGGAGCAACATACATACGGGATGCTGAGCAAGCTGTTTAGTCGGTGGGTGAGAAAGATAAAACCTAAGGAGGTGGGCTGGAGCTAGCTGGGCAACAACAACACTCTGGATGCCACATTAGGACCTCAGATCTCATCCTATAATCTTATCCATCCCTGTGCTCCCCACCCCAGGCTTTCTCTGTGTAGCCCTCCCTGGCTGTCTTAGAATTCAATTTGTACACCAGGGTAGCCTCAAACTCAGAGAGATCTACCTTCCTCTGCCCTCTAGTGTAGAATAACACCATCTGTGATACCTAACTGTTCCTAATAGTTTAAAAGTGCTAAACCAGCCCATGCCAGAGGAAGGTGGATCTCTGTGATTTTGCAGTTATCCCGGTCTACATAGTGAGTTCCAGGACAGCCAGGGCTATGCTAAGAAAATCTCAAGAAAAAGAAAGGAAGAAAAAAAAAGTGTTAAGCCAGGTGTATGTACACTTGAAGTCCCTGCACTCTGAGGAAACAGGTGACTTTTGAGTTTCCACAACAGCCTGAGATTCAAAAAGAACATGATCTCAAAAAACTTGAAGTGAGCCAGGCAGTGATGGTATACTGCCTTTAATCCCAACACTCAGGGGGCAGAGGCAGGCAGATCTCTGTGAGTGAGGCAGAGGCCAGCCTGGTCAACAGAGTGAGTTCCAGGACAGCCAGGGCTACACAGAGAAACCCTGTCTCGAAAAACTAAAATAAATAAATAAACAAACCTAAAGTGGCCCCAGAGTGGTGGTACACACCTTTAATCCAAGCACTTGGGAGGCAGAGATATCTGGCTATCAATGAGTTTGAGGTCAGCTTGGTCTACCAAGGGAGATCCAGGACAGCCAGGACTGTTACATAGAGAAACCCTGTCACGAAAAACCAAACCAACCAACAACAAAAAAAAACCCCTAGTGTTGAAGTTTACAAATGAATTATGCAAAGACAAAGAAGACAGAGGACGAACTACCATAAAAATGGTCTTTATGATGCATTTAAAATACCCAGCACAGAAATAATGCTATAGTCTTTGGGTAACTGTTGATTCAAGCATCATACCCTATTCATAAGCTAGTAAACAAAGCATAAAACAAACATTAAACAAAGATATTGAAAGTTCATATGTATTCTAATTTCCTCGGAACAGCAGGTCTAGCACAGACCAAGGAGAGTTTAATGAGCCTTTGAACTCCCTGAGATTGTATGCAGAAGACAATGCTGACAACTTGATTAATTGTCTCCTTCTGTATCACTAAGAGATCCAATACCCAAAATGAGATAAGAGTCTAACTTAAGGGTTAGTGACTTTAGCACAAACAGCAAAAAATTAACTCTGTGACTGATTTAACTTCCAGAAATAAATAAGTAAAAGCAATGGGAGGGGTGCACTTTGAGAAGCTAATACTTTAGTATCTCCTTCCTTTAATAACTACCCAAGAAACTTTATTTCACTAAGGCTATTAATCATCAAAAAATGGTCCTGTGGAAGGGTGATGAAATAAGGAACAATGCTACGTCTCTCTCCTCCTCACAAGCAGAACAGCAGCAAACTGCATCCCCTTGCCTTTCCAAAGGCACCTCCAGACCAGGGTGCTGGTTTCTTTCAAAATAAACATTCAGAGGTGACATAAGCCTAACAGAAATGAAGCGTACTGCCTGCCTGACCTCCTCCATCATCTCTTGTAGGTTTCATATGACGACAACATGCAAGACACCTGCATGGAGAAGCTAAGGGACCCTGGGTAAAAATGTGTGCTAGCGCAGCCAGGGCCCTTTCTAGAGCTGCACACTCTTCTGGGGATCGCCAGCCCCACCTCCATCGTAAGAAACAGGCTGTTTTCACCCAGCATCGACATTTAGCATTGCTTTTGTTTCGAGACAGGGTCTTGCTATGCAGCTCCAGTTGGCCTGCAACGCAGGCAATCCTCCTGCCTCAGTCGAGTGCATGAGCTCTTATACCTGGTTTCAGTTCTGTTAAAAAGTTAATGGGACAGCTCAAGACCATCCACAATAAAAATATTTTTAGTAGTCCTAACATACTCCTAACGTACTGTCTCTTTAGGAGACAAAAATAATTAACCAAATCACCTCCTTATCCTCCTAAAACACACTCTCCAAAAAGAGTGGTGGTCAAGCACCAAAGAACTTAAACCCCCAGATAAAACTCAGCCATTATGGACATTTAACCAGGTTCTTCAAGAAGCAGCAGTATACAGTCCGGAAGAGCACAGAAGGCTCCAAGGGGTCTCCATGCAAAGAGACGGGCCCTACCAAAACCACAGGGCCCTGATAACCAACCTGCTTGGCCCACAAGGCATTTTAGGCCTGTTTCTTCTAATCTTAGCCTCAAGCGGGCTGAAAAAGATTACTCGCAAGGGTGTGATATCTAAGAGCCACGTACATTTATCACTGGTTTGGAGGGACGTTACCACCGGGAGGACAAGCGAGCAGCGAGCACATCCCTGCACCCCAGGTCAGAGGCCCCCGGGGATTCAGTCAGAAACACAGGTTTCCCGCTATTCCGCCGGCTGCTCCTTGGGCACAGGGTGCTCCGACCTCCACCCGGGCTGCCCGCCCAGCCTCCGTGCCAGCATCTGGGAGGCTCCGCGGAAGGCCAACCGGGACGCGGGGATGCTGTTCCAATGATGCTCGGCCTA